ACGTCATTGATTACGCTCAAAATCCTACTTGTGTGTGTTGACTGTTTTAGTCTTGATTTGACTCTGTGCTGAAAGCTTATAAATCCTGCATGTTTACGGATGATCTCCTTCAATATTTCAATTGTGGTGTCGCTGATATACCCCCTTGCGCTGGGCAAAGCGGAATTACGCAACTTTTAATTAATCAGGTTGCTCATGCATGTTTTTGGCTGCTTCTAACAAGTATTTTCTTCTTCCGTCAGGGTTCTTCTTTTTGCAGGACTCGCTATAAATGGTACACTGACTGGTTGAATCCCACTTATTGGCGTCGTCATCGGGATCCAAACTATGACAGTCCTCTGTGGAACAACTGGAGACCATGGCAACTGGACAGGTGGGAACCATCTGAAAATAAAGGGTTTTCGAGCTGTGACTCGACATTGGCTGCGAGTATTGCGTACGGTAGTGCCTTGCAGACTTTCGATTTTTATTTTTTCAGAACCTTCTTCCTGCAAGTGCTTTTTCTTTGATATCCAGTACTACTGTGAAATTGTCGTCTCGCACTTAGCTGGGTAGATAAATATATGCCGCCGAAAGAGGAAGGGTCGCGCGGAGGATGCAGCAGATACTTAACTGTGCATGTATTGGAATGTAAATTTGTTGCACATGTCCGGCGGGACCTCCCACTTTTGGCCACATTAGTTCTCTCTCTCTCCTTGAACTGTTTCCAACATTAGGCTCTCAAGTTATGCATTGTCGTACGCTCATCAGAGACAGGTTAGAAAAAGAGCTCGATTACTCCTATCTGCATTGCAACAATATTTGTGTTGTTTACGAGCATAGATCATTCTTCACCCTCTCAAGTGTGCCACTTTGCAGGTCTAATATCAAGCGTGCGATCGATATGTATCGTAATGGTACTATTGACTTCAAAACACTTGACGACAAATGGATAACACCATCAGCATTTGCTAGATATGGTAAAGATTGGGCTGACGTTTATCTACCTGCTGGTATGTTCAGTCCCGCACACATTATTTTGCCTTCTATGTCTGATATTCTCTAGCACGCTACGGAGCACATCGCTATTTCTACTCCTTCGCCTAAGGAGGCTCTGAATGCAGCGAGGCAGCGGTTTCGAAGTGAATCGATATTTGATTGTAAAAAGAAGTATATGTAAATGGTCATGTAAATGTTAACATGACTGTACAAAGGAAAAGAGAAGAAATAAAAATTTACCATGAAAGTCAACGATAACATATTCAGCAAACACAGGTGGATTCACGGTAAGTTCAAAGCAGAGTACGATCTCCTGTGTTTACTCTGAGAGCAACTTTTTCACTTTTGCATTAGCTCCGCCCATGGCTGAATCGCTGTTTTCAACCTGAATGAAAATTGTTGAGTTGAAGTGGGACTACGTTAAGTCCAAGCTTACTAGTTCATGAATCCGGTCAAGTTTTGGCTCTTGAATCCTCAGCTGTACATTCATATCTACTGCCAAGTGCTTGATGGAATTAAGGGTTTCATCAATTTGACGAAGATTGCCCTCAATCTCATTTTCTACCACATCTTCTGTCAACCTGCAAGCGGTATGCTGGAGGCGTGGCATTATAGAGAAAAAAGTGCTGCAGCGCTGAGAAAGCGCTCAGGGATCCCCATGCTAGCCATAACTGTCCCAGGGCCGTTAGAATGCTGCCACAAATATCGATTGGAATTATTCGGCGATATTCGGCGCATCTACGATGTTAGGAACACTAGTTGCTTCTTCTTAGCCTAACCTGCATTTTCACATTTCAAAAGCGCGAGCGGAAGAGAAAGAATGCAGTTAAGGCGACAGACCAATTTCTGGCGACCTGTGTAGCACGGGGGACGGTCAGGAGGTACGATCGGCACGATTTCGCGCGACACCGCAGCGCACTTCAGCCAATGCAACAGCAGCACTCCTAA